GCTGTGAAGGGCTGGGCCTACAGCTCATCTGGGACGGTGAGGCTGGTGAGGGTGACAAACCTTCTCTGCTTAGCTCAGACTCCTGAGACTTGGAAAGTTCTAAAACCCTGCAGTGTGAGCCCCAGAGCTCATCTCTTACAAAGCTCTTCAAGGGCCTAGTGGTCACATTCCTGACTTCTATCCTGATCCAATTCCTGATTGACCTTACGCTTCTGACACTGCCCCTCCCATTCAGCACCATTACTTTTTTACTTGAAAATTTTTATATCTTTTTTAAATTACATGTAAAAACAACTTTAACCTTTGGGTTTTTTTTAATTTTGAGTTCTAAATTTTCACTCCTTCCTTTCCCTCCCCCCTCACTAAGCAATTAGATATGGATTACACATGTGCAGTCATGCAAAACATATTAGTCATATTGCAAAAGAAAACACAGACCCAAAAAAAAGGAAAAAAAAGTTTAAAAAACCATGCTTCAATCTACATTCAGACTCCATCAATTCCTTCTCTGGTGGAGGATTTCCATCATAAATCCTTCAGAATTGTCTTGGATCACTGTATTGCTGAGAATAGTTAAGTCATTCACAGTGGATCATCGTGTAGTATTGCTGTTACTGTGTACAATGTTTCCCTGGTTCTGCTCATTTCATTTTGCATCAGTTCACCATAAGTCTTTCCAGTAGCCCTATTACTTGCATGCAGAGTTCTAGTCCAATTGTGTTTCTATTTTCCACCTGCATAAGAATTCAGGTGTCTCCCTCCTCCCACTCCCTCAAAAACACCGGGAAGGGTTGAATCATCACCTGCTAGGTTGCTGCCCTGACCTACACAGGATTTGGGATGAGGATTGGGCAGGAATAAAAAGGAAAATATGATAAAAAGTTTTAATCATTTCTCAATTTTTTTTGTTTTTAGTTTGTCAATCTGTAGAGCTATAGGAACGATCCAAGAGAGCTGAGCAATGTATCCTCCAGCTGCTTGTGTCCTTGTGAAAATTCACAAAGAGAAGGCTCTTATGTTAATCATGAACTAAGAAAGCTAAGGTCAACAGAAAAGAAAAAAATCCATTTAAAAACAATCTTAAGAAGAATAATACCCAAAAAAAACTGGTTTGGAAATCAGAAGACTCAGGTTCCTGATTCATGGTTTCTTAAGTAGAAGCACCCTCATTTATAAGTAATGTAAAAAGAGGTCATGTTTAGATTGGCACAATTCAAATAACCAAACATCAACTGGGACAATTTATCAAATCATGAAATATAGCTTAAATAAATGAGTTTGACTTCTGAAATAGCTATTAACCATGCCTTAAAATATAAAATTTTCATGTCACAAAGAAAATGTTTACACACTATATATGACAAGACTCAAATAGATCACCTACCACAGTCCTGTCCTTCTAATGTCTTGTTTTAAATAATGATAAAGTTCTTCAGAGATTCATTTGAGACTATTAATAATACTGATGGAATAATTTTAGAAAAGTCTCCTCCAATTGCTATGACTTGAATTTGACAAAAATAAATGTCCACAATATACCCAGTTCTAACCAATTTAGTTTTGATAATAAATCTGCTCATTGTTTCCTAGTACCAGGTGCCCAATTTCAAAACCTACAAAAAGATGAGATTTTGATTATTTCCCTAACATAAGCAGGGGTTATATTCAAAAAGGTTCTTTCTAAGTTGCTTACTCAAAATTTGACTGCACTTCCCCATGGAAACAACATTAATACAGGGTGTCTGTCAACAAAAGCCAATATAATTGTTAATATAGACCAGAAATGTGGTGCTGACTCTGCCCCTAATTAGGTGCATGACTTTGGGCAAATCACTTAATTGTGTGGGCCTCAGTATCTTGATTTATAAAGGGGGGGGTGAGCAGGTAGTTAGACTAGAATAAATTCAGTTCAAGAAATAATTATTAAGCACCTTCTATTTGCAGAGCATAGGATTACTGCCCTCATGGAATTTTAAATCATGATTATCACTAAAGTAATATCCGACTCTAAAATCCTGTGATCTATAATCCATGATCGACTCTACCAAAAGCACTATCCAACACTGCATCAAGTTTCTATAATTTATAATTTGATAATACAACGAAGTTTAGAATTCCAACTTAGAAGGCCAGGAACACGTCGCTTCCCACTGCAGTGGGAGTTGGGCCTCTCTCAGTTTCAAACCACTGACAACAGATCCCATGGTAAAGGACTATGGAATAGGGTGGTGGTAAGGGAACAGAACGGAAGATGTGGAGGACTGTTGGGAGTTCAGAGGCAAAGAGCTACAGTGGGCTGGGACCCCGAAAGTTACTTTCAGTCCTATCTGGCTCATTAGTTACAATCTTTTTTCTTCCCACAAGCCACAAGAATTGAACTGTGTCCATTCCTCTTGCCTACTGCTTCACTCCCCATCTCTGCCCAACCTGAGCCTAGGGAACTAAATTATGGGGTTCTTGGTGATAATATGAAAAGGTAAAATAGATGCCCCCCCAAATTCCTTCTGTTGTTCTGCTTGCCCTCACCAAGAGAGGACCTTAAATTTAAAGATCATTCAATTTGATGATAAACTTCAAAGCCATGTATATATGTTAATGGTAGACCTTTACAAAGAAGAAGCTGAAGTGAAATGAAGCTGTGTGTAAGAGGAAATTCAGGTTCAAGCCTGGTTTCTCCATACCACCAGTGCTCAGGTGAGCACTGGACGACAAAGAATAAAACACAGAGAAGAGCTAGGTGGCGCAGTGGATAGACACCGGCCCTGAAGTCAGGAAGACCTGAGTTCAAATCCAGACTCAGACCAAACACTTCATACTTACTAGCTGTGTGACCCTGGGAAAGTCACTTAACCCCAATTGCCTTAAAAAAAGAAAGAAAGAAAAAACACAGAGAAGAAATAGGCCTTGGGAGGGAAAACTGGAAGAGGAAACTGGAGGCTAGTTTCCTCAGACTGATCAAGGAAGGGTAGACATTTGTGTGTAAGGGGTACATATAAGTCAAGCATATATAAAATTGGGAACTGTCTACAAATTAATAAACATTTCAACAACATATAAAAAAGATCCTATCCCTCTGCAGACTGTGAAACTAAAAACATGGCATAAGGAAATACTCAATGGTAGACTGATTGTCAAAAACCCAATTGTTCAGGAGTAAATGATAAATATGTCAGTTTTTGGACTTAGTTAATTTTTCAGCTACTGTAGAAATATATTTTAGATGGATTAATTTGTCCAACTCCTCCAATGTGGAAATCATCTTTTTTTTTTCTTTCAACTAATAGCCTTCCTAGAAAAATTTTTTACTAAAAAATAAAACCAAACCAGTATGATACTTTTCACTGCTCTTTAAAACACACGAATTGTTACCAGCTTTATATAATTAAACTATCCTGAAATCTGGGAGCAATCTCAGAAAAGCACTTCTGGTCAATATGAAGGATATCTTTCTGTATAATGAAGTATTTCTTTGGATCCTTTAATATGGTTAACTTTAACTTTTGAAATGGTGCTTATTACATTCCTATATCCACTAGAGTGTATTTATATTCATGGATTCCAGTCATGCTTCCGAAGAGGTAATTAGACGATATCCCATGAGTTACAGCATTCTAAAAATATTTTGTATGCATCATGTAAGATGAAGCAACAGTTTTCTCCACAATAATACAGGCTATATATCAAATAATTAGTATGCCAGAGTCTCTTCATCTGGTAATAAACTAATTAAGCTTCAAGTTAAATGGAAGACAGTTACTGAAAGATCTTCCAACTTAACTCATTACATTCAGGACATTTTTCATTACAGAAGCAGATTTAAGATGATAACTGGGCAACTAAAGATTCACTGGAAGAAAGAAGAAAAGATTGTTATGGAAATGATCAAGGAAGGCTGGTGATAATTTTCCATATTTCAAAAATAACTCTTTCTAATTACAAAAATGGGTTTAGGCACTAGACTCTGCTTTCACGGGCAGAAGGAAATGACAGGTGAAGAAAGTCCTTGTACCAATGTACAGTTATTAGTGTATCATTTCTTTCCAAAATCAGTCTTGGAAAGATTGCTTGGTGTCCTAAACCCTTACACGACATTCTCAGGGTCAAAGAGCCAGCATGTGTCAGAAAAGGACCCTGACCTCAGATCTTCCTGTAGGGGAGGCCTACTCTATCCTCTATACCTGTCATGAAAATAATTAAATAAACTTGGGAAGAGAAGCCTACTTGATAATATTCTCAATGTATAAATTTATATGCTACTTTAAGGATTACTATGAGCTTTCTTCATTTTAAAACTTCACATGGATGGCAATGAAAATGTCATAACTTCTATTTTGAAGAAGTTAAACCCAAGGCCCAGGGAAGGGCAGTGACATATCTCAACAAGGCAACAATCTGAAGAAAAGTAAAGAGAAGTAACTAATAAGGAGGTACCAGATAAAGGAAAGGGAGGGAAAGGAGCTTAAAATAAGAATTGACCTAAGCCATGGATCCAACTTAAATCTAATCTGGATGCAAAAGGTACCAAGTCAAAACCTATCTCACTTGATATCTTCCATTTCCCCTGGTTCTGTAGATCTCACTGAAACTAGTGAGAGAAACAGAAAAGTTAAAGAAGCCTAAGGTATTCTCCTGGTGCCTTGCATCAGCCATTCTAGCAGAAGAGCTTCTCTTCACAGGCTTTATGGAGGAAAGGAAGCTATAAGAGATGGCCCAGGAAGAAAGATTCTGTGAGCTGCCTGAGGCAAGGAACACATATTACTCACTGTTATCTCACCTAGGACCCAGTAGAGTACCTAGTCCCAGCAGTAGGGACTCAATGAGTATTTGTAGAATTAAAGTCAAAAGTTCTATCATGAGCTCCAGCATGACTCTGAACACACTAGAACATTTATTATTTATGAACAATACCAATTTATAATTGCATTACTTGGAAGTCCTACACTATGAGGAACTTATTCAATGAACAGACTACTGACTCTTAAAAAATTGTTGGAACTGACCGTAGAGCGAAAATGCGTCAGCAAGGCTGGATGCTGTGTTACTGCTTCAAAAGCTAATAAAGTGATCTTGATCAATTCTTCTGATGCTGTTGGACCTGGAAATAAAATGATCATTACATAGCTTTACCATTATGACACAAAACACAATGTCAAAATACTTTAAATGAAGAGGTAAAAATGCCCTCATGAAATACTGACCTATGGCTCCATCTATATTGGTCTCTCCTGAGTCTATGGACTTAATATGATTCTGAAAAAAAAAAGTTGAAATAAACATGGCTTCCAAAATACTAATGATTATTGCTACACATAAAGAACCACTGATCTTCCTTATAAAACAATTCACTGTCAATGTTAAGTACTATCTATATAGCTAAACATTTAGATCAATACTGCTATATTATCTATTTATACATATATATACACATACACACATACATACATGCATGTATGCATACATGTGTATGTACATACGTGTATGTGTACATACTATCCAGGACCATTATACACACATATACACACACATGCATATATACAATATTAAAGTAAACTGTCTGAGTACAAGTTACATGTAAAGCAGAAAAAAACTCAAAAGTAACAAATGGAAGAATATATTACATAATATAAAAACAATTATATAATATATAATATAAAATCTATATATATAAGATTATATAATATGAAATATATATAAAATAATATAATACTACATAATATAAATATATAATATAAAAATCTAACTTACTGATTAGCCATTAATCTACATAGTGTATGACTCCACTTATATGTATAGAAATCAAAATTCTAGCCACCAGAACTCCCTAGTACATACAGAGAGCTATGAATCTCTAAGTTAAGGAAATAGGCAGATGAGCAGAAGTCATAAATAAACCCAAAGAGACAACATCAGGCAGAAGTGAGAATACATTTAAGACTTAATTTCTCAAAATCAGTCCATTCAGTCAGACAATGTTTATTCAATGTCCACCATAAGCAGACTTGAGTACTAGGTGCTATAAGGAGATTTTTTTTAAAAAAAGTCAATCATGGAGGTGGGAGTGGATAAGATAAAAACATGATACATCAAAAGAAATCATAAACTTTGAAACTAATGAGGCTGGAGAGAATGCTGAACATGTGCCCCAAAAGACACAGAAACCAATGCACAAGAGGATGAGTACAGGCAGACTATACTACTCAAGGAAGTTTTAAAGGAGGAAGGGAAATGTCATGGCAGTGAATTGTAGAAGTCATCCTAGGTTTGGGAATCAGAGGCAGGAACTATAAATAGAAGTTTGCTTGAATGGAAGGTGGTCCAAAACAAATGAGAATAGTTGCGTGGAAGTTGGGATCAGCAGGGTTTGGGAAGGATAGCTCAGCAGGATTTGCCTCAGGCTGCACACCAAAGGGAGGGACGTAGGGCTGACTATAGGACAGAAGGTGTAGAAAAACCAGGAAGGCTGTTACAACCACACCACTGACAATAAATAGCCTGAGAAGCAAGTACATTAGCTCCCATCTGATGCTCTCTTCACTTTAAACTGGATCATCAAAAAATAGAGGAAAAACAAAGGACAATCCCTGGCATTCCTACAAGGAAGCTGCCAAAATGAAGGAGACACAGTGACTATTCCCACCAGCTTAAAAGGAGCTTCGAAAGTGACACAGTATTATGCCCCAGGTACCAAAATACTCTTCAATGGCCCCACTGAGAAGCTGGGAGGATGAAATATTAATGATTTGGGATGAGTAAACGCTAAACTGTTCTTCCTAACGTTCCTCCGTCCTTTAATTTATTTCCACTCTTCTGATTTCACTTTTATGCCAGGATGTGACTTTCATAAGTGATACCAAGGACACGCTACTGATTTCTAGTTGCCAATAAGGGAGCAATGCTCTCCACAATTGGTTTTACCATCCATTATATTTCACTAAGTTAAGGTTTAGGGGCTCAGAGAAGATTATGCTGTAAATAATGCCAGGAGTTTATACATGATGTTTTCAGGCCTTGTTTTTTTCCGATTTGACAAACTAATAACTGATAAAGCAGTCATTAAATGTTACAGACTAATACAATCATTGATCCAACAGAGAAATAACATTTTTCATGATCACATGGTGATACTCTGAGTCATTTTGTAGTTCAATATATTTTTTCTTTCAAATAAGTTTATTATTCCTATGCACACCATAACCAGCATAGTGGATACAAAACAGTGCATATGTTTGAGTCAGAAAGGCTTGGGTTTAACACATACAGCTGTGGGCACCTAGACAGGTCATAAGGATGGGGAGGCACAGATAGTTGTCAGAGGGAATAAGACTGGACAGACACTGGAATCTTGGCATATTGCCCATAGTATATGCTGCTGGAGTGTAGGGCAGAGATTATTTTACAAGTTTTTCCTCATATTCCTAGCAGCTAATACAGTGTTCTGGACAAAGTAGATGCTTCATAAATTCTGAGAACCCAATGGTTACAGATGGCAGGTTTACTTTAGGGGTGGTCAAGATTTTTCAACCAGTTTTTCTCATGCTGAAGCTGGTGCCTGGCTATGTATCTGCTACTTTTGCCACATTCCCTACATTTCCTGTCCTGCTATATCAGTCAAGAGCAGGCAGAAAGCTCTGGAACCTTCCAGAACCTAGAGCTTCAACCACACTTTTAGGTTTCAATTATGTCTTTAATCCCTGTTGATAGCTGCTGGTGTCATGTCTAACTGTGCTCACAAGTTCCAAAATGGTGGGGCATTCTGTGCATCATTCACTGGGACAGCCACAGTAGCTTCTATCAGCCTCCCTGCTTTAGAGCCAAATAGTTCAGGAAAAACCATTTTGTCACATGCAGTCAGGGCCAGGCCACAGCTAAATTGGCCCTAGACCCAACTGTCTCCTCCTCATCAGAACATGTTCTCCACTAGCCTTCATACAAGAAAGCATCTGAAGAATTAATTCACACTGAAGCATCAATTCCTAATATAGCACTACTCTATCGATCATAACAAAAACATGATAATAACCCAATTCGGGTAGCTCACTGAAGGTTCACAGAATGCCTTCTTCACATCTTTGAGAGGTAGGTAATCAAAGCAGTCTTCTTTCCATTTTACAAAGAGGAAGCCATGTGACTTACCCAGCATCCTCAAGCTGGTAAGTATGGAAGCCAGGACTCAGACACTGGGTTTCTAACTGACTTCAAGAGCAGGGCTTTAGAAAATTAACTGAGAGTAAAACTTCCAGCCTCCCTGACAGGCTTCTGGGGGCAGGCAGTACGCCTCAGCCTATACACCACGCGGACTGTGCATGGAGCCTGCCTAGCCTGCTGCTGCTGCTATTCCTCCAGTGGTGAAGGAAACAGACATATTAACAATAGCTAACATTCACATAGGTTCGAGTTTGACAAGTGCTCCCTTCACAACAAATCCATGAGGTAGGCACTGTATGTACCATCCTACCCATTTCACAGATGAGGAAACTGAGGCTTGCAGAGTTTAGTGACTTGCTCAGCATCCTATAACCAGGAAACACCAGAGCTGGGAAAAAAAAGTAGAGGTCTCCCCAGATTTCAAGTCCAGCATCAGACTCTTCACTGAACCACACATCCCGCCTCTGCATAACCTGGTACTTTTCCCTCCTACTCTATTTATCATCTGTATGCATGTTTGATACCCCCTTACTTCACTGCAGGCTCCTTGTAATCAAGGATCATGACGTATCTATGTCTGTATCTTCCCAAGGTCCTAGCATAAGGCACTGTGCACAGGAGATGCTCAACAGATATTTGCTGAAAGAAGAAAGTGATTCATTAAAGATTAGAGAAAAAAAAGAAAGATTGACACTACCTGCCCCAATAAATAGAGAATTCTCTTTACTTCACCAGTAATCAAAATCTACAGCAACAGTAACACATGGGAATAGTATTGCAATTGTTGCAGCTAATAATAATAATTGCTTACATTTACAATCATCACTTATAAGAATCTATCATGTGACTTGTATCTATTAAAGTTCCATGAAATTATAAGAATGCTTTTTCTTTTTTTTATTTAAAAATTAGTCCCATTAAAGCTAGGAATTCCAAGTAAAAACCACAAGCTGATTTTCCATCAGCCATCACCAGCTTGTGAACTAATCAAAATAGAAGATGAAGTGCAAAATATCCAAAGTGATCTTCTCCAGCTCATTAATCAAGCAACTTTGTGAAAAGGTTGGTCACGATGAGCACAACATTATGCCCCCAAAATATGTCCATAAAGCCAAAATCTCTTATTATCCAATGTGAACTAATTCAAGACCCTGAGATCTAGACTTACTCACGTGACATGCCTTCTAATCTATTATTGTGGGGTTGTCGATTAAATGCAACTAAACAGACATTTATTAAGTACCTACTATGTGCCAAGCACAGCCCTAGGTACTAAGAATGCAAAGACTAAAAACAGAAAGGCAAGTTCAAGGAGCTGCCATTCCACAAGGCACAAGTGAAATGAATGTACTTTGAAGAAGGAGAAAATGTCAGGTCAGGGCAGGAGGAACAGGAATTATGCTTCCAATGTGGCTGCTTTTTTTTTTTGCTATAATCCTTACAAGTGTTTCCCTCCAACCAAAGGCTCTCAGCCCAGGTGCTTGGCTCTCTGTGTTCCTTCTTTTAGCCCTCCAAAGATGAGTCTCTCATACTGCGGGGTCCAACATCCTGTTGCCTTTAGGATGAAATATACACTTGTCATTTAAAGTATTCCCTTTACTCCTTTACACACACTGCACATTCCAGCCAGACCAGCCCAGTGATGGCTATTCCCTGAGCTCAGTGCTCTGTCTTCTGCTTCTTTGCCCTCCAAAAGTCTTCTCCCACATCTGCAGTGCACTAGCTAGGGTCTTGTCATCTGTGCAGAACCATTATCGATCCCCGAAGGGTGCACATTTTCTCCCAAGGGAGGAGGGGCCCTGAAGAGTAGTATTGATTGTGCTATATATAAGGAAAAATATATAATGTATATAAGGAACTATATAATATATGATATAAAGTATTACGCATAAGAAATTTCCCTTTGTTCCTATGCTCTCTAGAGTTCATCAGTTCAATCAGTGTAACTTGCCACATAAATAACAAAACCAACAGAAATCATATGATTATCTCGATAGATACAGAAAAGCTTTTGACAAAATATAACACTCATTTCTGTTAAAAACACCAGAGAGCATAGGAATAAAAGGAACTTTCTTTAAAGCACCGAGTGATTTTGTTCCCTAGGGTCCCTGATCTGGAAGTGATATTCCCCCTCAAGACTTCCACTCTCTCTTGACCAAAAGTGCTCTCTCTGCCCTTGAACTGTGACCCAGAAGTGAGTATAGGCAAAGGAGCTACCTAACAGTCTGGTCCTGTATTCACTACTAACACAGGGCAAAGAAGCGGAAGACAGAGCACTGAACTCAGGGAATAGCCATCATTGGGCCGCAATCTCTTTCTGACCAGCTGCAAGGTTCACTTACTGTCTCTGGCTTGAGAGCCCCCAAAGCTGCTGCTGCTGCTGTTACCACCACCTAGTCCCACCCCTAGCTCTGGGCCATCCTTCACCCTCATGCCACAGATATCTCTTTCTGACCTCCCATGTGGTCTTGGCTTAGAAGAATGTCTCACTCTGACCTTCTGTTGGCTCCACCACTCCAGAATTTACTTTCAGGTCTTATTTTAAAGTTATTTGGAAGGGAATGTTGGGAGAGCTCAGCTGAGTTCTGCCATCTTGGCTCCGCCCCTGGAAATCCATCCTAATTACTGCGATAAATTACTGTTATACCTCTCTACATAGTATCCACACTAGGTACAAGCTACATTAAAGAAATGTTCTACTTTTTAAGGTCTCAATCAATCAGAAAACAAGTACAAATTTGGTACCCACCAGTGCTAAACACTGTAGTAGGGATAGGGGATATCAAGGCAAAAGGGAGTTTATAGTCTAGTCTGGTGTATAAAAATATATAGATGTACAGATTAATAATATATAATATATATGGATTCATATAAATGGTATTATATTATGCTACATCATATATCATTATATTATAATATTACAAAAGAATGGCAGTTGAGAAACTAGATAGATGACTATTCTATGATCTCATGAGCTAGGATGCTTTCAATTTATCAGAGTGGATGTATTATAACCTAATACCTGATGAGGTATTAAAATTATTTACTTCTTTTATATTTAGTCTGGATATTTCTACTACAATTGCTAGAAATTTAAGAATTTGCTTTTCATTCCTCTAGAAAGGAGGGAAAAAAATAAATTTCTTCTAAGGGTAAAAAAAAAAACCCTCAAAAACAGCACACTCCATCTGTCCCCTAGGCTTACGAGGAACAGGAGTAGAGTGGATGAGAAACCAGAAAACCAACTCAAAAGGATTATTGTTATAATCAACTATGCAAAAAAAAAAAAGCCAACTGCTAGAAAAACAAATAAATGACATTTGCCAAAGGTAAAGTTAATTCCTCCCCTTTAAACAAATGGCAGGAACAAAAAACATCAAGCATCCAATTACTACATATATGTAGTTCCTGTTCCAAATTGTTATAAAAATGAGAACTATCATACATTAAGGTTACAACCATGAAAATCTTATGATAGCAGCCCAACAGCATATAAAGTTACAGCAAAAAAAAAAAGTCCTGCCTCTTCTTCTCAACTTAAAAACATGGGAATACACAAAGGTTTAGTGAAAATATTTCAAATATATTATTAATTTATCAAGCCATCCCATTATTTAAATTTTGGTTCATTCCAACATTTTCCTTCCAGATTTTTCAAAGATAAGGCGAACAGCCCAAACGTCCTCCAAAATTGATAACAAGAATTGCGTGAATCACCATTAAGTCACCGACAGTCAGGTCCCCAGATTCAATCATGGTATCAAAAGTCATAGATTCCAAGAAATTTGGAACTAGGAAGGCCTTTAGGGATGATCTAGTCCCAACTTCTCATTTAACAGAAAAGTTACATTTCAGAGTGAAGTGATTTGATAAAGGTAGATGGTAAAGTAAGAATTAGAAACCAGGTTTCCTGATTTGTAGACAAGTGTCTTAATAGCACTCAGCAGATTTCTATGTGATAGTCATGCCAAAATTATCTCCCAAGTTACAAATAAAAGACACTACCTGAGATTCTGAATAAGAAAGTTTCTAAAAGGTTGCAATTTCATGCATATGCAAAGAAGTTTAATTTGGCACACTGGAGAAATGCAATGATAAGAAACTGGAAAATACAGAATCATTTAAACTACATTACTTGAATACATAGATTCTTTACAGTTAATGACCTATAAGGAACATTTATACTTCAAAACACTCTCCCTCTTCCTGAAGTATAACTTCTCAAAACAGCCCTTCTCCTTTGTGAGCGACAATCCTTTTTACAGTCTGAACTAACAATACAAAGGCAAATTACTACCTTACTTTAAATACAGAGATTCACGGCATTTTTGAAAGTCTGTATTGTTAATATCAAAGTAAGATTGCAGATGCTGAAGGTGACAAATGTCTTACTTATATTGCTCAGCATTTCATCAACTAAAAAGAAAGGAACTGTAAACTGGCAAGGAGAAAAAGATAACATGATTGCCAAGACGTGTATTTTTATACCAGGAAGTAATAATCCACTGAACCAAGGACTGGATGAAAGACAATACAATAAACTGCTTTTTGTTGCTGTTTGTCATTTCAAGAATAAATTTAAAAATCAGCACACATAATCTAAAGACATGATCATTTACATAGTTAAGAAAATGCATTATTAGGCAATATAAGCAAGCACAGATACTAATTATAAAGTATTCTCTCAATTCCATTTTCAGCCATTTTGTCAGGTTAGGATTCTTCATGATATTTAATATCACAATCTGTAACCACGTTTCTATGGAGAAACTCACCCTATTTGTGGCTGTCTACTGAACAAATACATTATTGGAAAGGAATTCATTTTCTTCCAAATGTCAAATTTTATTACAGCCAAGGGATTAAAAAAAAGGTCACTTCCCTGGAGAAAACTGAATACCACTTGGATTTTTAAATCACCCCATTGACACACAATCCCACAGGCAGCAGAGGTGCCACATACGAACTCGAAAAATCAAAAGCGTTACTCACGAGCAAAGTTCCACAACTGAAAAGAAACTCCTCAGTTACAACTTGAGGGCGGAATACCTATAGGATGAGAGGATGGGTAGACTGAACACTGAAGCATATGGAAAATTTTACTTCAAGTAACGTATAAAAATTGAGAAATTTGCGTTGACTTTTCTAATTCTAGCATATGGGCAATGCATATAGTCAACTGAAAGATAAGTGAGTCAAATGGGGGTTCCATTTTTTTTGTTCACAAGAGTGAATCCTACCTGTGAGGTCACAAGGTGAAGCACTACAGGCATCATTGGAAGACAGATCTTCAGCTGCTTAACCTGCAGCGTCGACGGATGTTTGCGTCCAGAAACATTAGCCAATGCGCTGAGAACATCACCTGCAAATCATGACACAGAACACGCAAACTCAAGGGATTACCCACATGCAGCTCTGATGGACCAGTAATTTAGCATTATCCAGAGACTGGTATGGGGGGAGGCCAAAGAATACAGCACATTTATGAAAACAGCGAGGGGTGGAGAGAGGAATATGTGGGATGTGACTCATGATGATGGTAAAGAGTCCTAATGCGGAAGAATCACTTTATGATGGTGGCATACCAAGCAACCCCTCAACAGGGATAAAACCCTGAGTCCTGAAATACTTCTTTATGTGGGAAACGAGTCCCTTATCAGACACTGAGGCTGAGTTAGGTATGTGATAAGGAGCTAATCCTTGGGTACCACCGCTTTCTACAGAAATCAAAATTGGCATTCAATGAGCAACATTCTATCTTTTAATTTGTATGCAAGGAAAAGTTATGCAGCAAAATAAAGACTCTATCAACATTCTGATCATTAACATCAATATGAATTTTCTCAATAAGAAGGTAAGAAATCTCCAAATATCCTAAGGAGGTGAGGGAAGAATGAAAGAAGTGCAGGAAGACATTTTCATCAACATGATTCAATAGCCTGAGTTTGCCAGTCTAAGAATATTTTAATACAGATTACTAAAACTAATTTCAAATGTTTAGTATTTCTGGTTTATAGCTACATCTGCTGGAAAAGCATGGGAGTAGAATATTATCAAAAACCAGCACATTTTAAAATTGTAAATGTAATTTTTAATAACTAGCACAGAACAATGATAAAGCACAATTTTGATGAATTCACAGTATCTTATTTTTTAAATTAAGTGGTTTTTAATAATTAAAATAATAGGCTTCCAATTGTCAGACTTTATGATAAGCACTTATTAAATTTTTGTTAAATTGAATTGGACTTGATAATTACACGATTCTTTGCCATATTCTTTTTAAAAAATATGTGTATTTCATGTTTTTTCCCCAATCTTTGCCTTATTCTTGAATATGATAATATTTCACACGAATGTGGCATGTTAAAGTTTCTTAGCCCCTTTTCTCACAAAAACACACTAAGACTGATGATGTAAGAATCATTATCCCCATTTTACAGATGAGAAAGCAGGCTCAGAGAGGCCAAAGGTCAGACCCGCTTTCATCTCCTGGTCTTTTGCCTCATGGCCCAGTGCTCTTTCTAGTGCATCATGGTACGTTGGTAAAACATTTCAAGAATACAAAAAATGCCTTCCATAATTAGTTAGGAAGAAAGGTCATTCAAAAATATCATTAAAATAAACAATTGCACAGTTTCTATTCTTAGGCTCAAAATCAACCTTCTCCCTTTAAATATTTTCCAAAGTTGTCATTTTATAATGACTACCATGAGCATCTGAGAATCTCTTCCCTTCAGTCTGTCAACAACGCCTTTATTAAGCAGTAACTATGTACCAGGCCTAAGCACCGAGATAAAATTCGGTCAATATTTTGATCTAGTTCTATAAAAATAATCTGCGGAAAAATGACAACTGATACGATTTGGAGGTCAAAACTATTTTTGGCTAGTTTATCGTCATGTCCGAGGCAAGACAGATTTTTCTGTCACTACACCCAGAGAATGAAGACAGTATGAGGAGTGAGTTCACATTTTCTACTAGTTACATATTCTCCAGTAAGGGCAAAGTAAGAAATAGCAGAAATTGAGGAAGAGACTCCAAGTCACAGTTGCTTGGATCCACTTACCCAGAATTCCCGGCAGCTCCTGTACAATGTGATAGATGAGAAGATCTAGGCATTTGGACAGGTACTCATTGCCGCTCTGCTGCTCCTTTCCTGGTGTGGCCTTTCTGCTGTCTCTTTCAATGTACATTACCAGTCTACATACAAACAAGTGAAAAAGATCACCTCCTGACAAAAACACTGCAGAGCATCCCTCCAAAAATACCACCAAGGTATGCATCGCAGGAGGCACAGTCAAAATCAAGTTGACATTTAGATATAGTGGCAGTAAGCATTTCATTTTTGCATTAGAAAACAAAAAATTATTTTTAAAAGAAAATAAGCTTTTAATTGCCCCATCAATGAATTATAGAACAGCAGTTTACACTAAAATCTCATATGACTTAGCATCCTCAGTCTATTAAAAAAAAAAGACATACATTCACAAGGTAACAAATAAAAGTCAGAATGTGATTTAGTGTTTCAGAGCTCAAGCTCATGTAGAAAGTATTCTTGATCTACACCTTCTGCTGTTAGTCTGGCTGGGACCTCAAGACAAGTACATATACCTATATATCACTAGGCTGTAATTCTAGCTGTTTTATCCAACCATACATTTAAATAAAATCTGGTCAAGGAAAAAAATTAGTTTGGCACCAGATTATCTGAACTCAGTCATTAAATGTTCCAGTTTCTCAATTCAGTTTCTCAAAGTGCTCCTATCTACCAATTTTATACATCTTTATACATTATACAATTTTATACATCTGGTATAATTATAAATTTGTAAAATGGGGAACTATTAGAGATGAATTTCATTTGTATAAACATATCAATGTTTAATAAAGGTATCAAGTGGAAAAACATTAATTGCTTGTGGGTAGATTGAACCAATATAACAAAAATGATGATACTACCTAAATTAATTTACTTATTCAGTACTATATCAACTAAACTCCCAAAAGAATATTTTATAGATCTAGGAAAAAATGAAAAAAAAAATGATACAGAGGAAAACAAGATCAAGAATCTCTAGGGTAACAATTTTTTAAAAGTTGCAAGGAAAGGAGTCTGGGTCTATCAGTACCAGATCTCAAACTATATTCCTAGGTGGTCATCACCAAAACAATCTAGTATTGGTTAAAAAAAAGAGAGAGACATCAGTGGAACAGATTAGGTATATAATATACAAAAGCAAACAAACACAGCTACATATTATTTGATAAATCTCCCTATCTTGTGAGTCTGTATGATTACTTTTAGCCCAAGGTCCACGTCATTGGTATGGGGAAAACAAGTCTTCTAGTACCAGATCACAGTATCATTGTTGGAAGTGATCTCAATGGCCAATTTTTGTTGGTGTCCAGTTGTTTCAGTCATATCTGATTCTCCATGACCCCATTTGAGGTTTTCTTGGCAGAGATACTGGAGTAGTTTGCCATTTCCTTCTCCAGCTCATTTTACAGATGGGGAAACTGAGGTAAATAGGGTGAAGTGACTTGCCCAGGGTCACAGAGCTAGTAAGTGTGTGAGGCCAGATTTGAACTCAGGAAGATGAGTATTCCTAACCTCAGACTCAGCACTCTATCTATTGCACCACCTAGTTGCCCTATTTAACCTAATGCATTCCTAAAAAAGACTCCTCTATCATTCTAACTAACAAGTGGTCACTTACACTTCTACTTTAAGACCTCCATCTTCCTGGAAGCCAAACCTCTCTTAAGCAGACTAAGATCATAGCTGTGTTTTTGGAAGCCATTTATATTACTAAGATACACTGAGCTTTCAGTCTGCTAAAACCCCAGGACCTTTATCAGACAAACTGCCACCTCACCATGCCTCTCCCCAATCTGGGACTTGCAAAGTTGATTTTTAAACCCACACGTTAAGTCTTCACATTTATCTCTATCAGATTTTAGCTTGATTCAGAGTCCAATGTTCGAGCCCCTCATGACCATACGGAACCCTTACTTTGTCAGGTAGGTCAGATATCCCAACTTTGTGTCATGTGAAAGTGTGATGTTTGTGGTGTCTACACCTAAAACTAAGTCACTGAAAACAAATATTAAACAGCACAGGGTCAAACACAGATCTCGGACCCTCCAATGGAAACATCCACTCTAGCTGACATTGAGCCATTAATGACCATTCTTCGGCCTCAGGCCTTTAACCAGCTTCACGTTCATCTAAATGTACTATCAACCAGCACTTAGCACCATGCCAGGCATATAGTTAGTACTTAATAAATATTTACTGACCCCTGACTCACATCTCACAATTTTTATGCAAGAATAGAATGAGACATTTTATCAAATACCTAATCTAAGAAAACAATGTGAGAGCATGACATAATAGAAAGAGGACTTGGAGCCTGAAAGACCTGGGTTCAAATCCTATCTTTGATACTTACTAGCTGTGTGACCTTGAGCAAGTTTCTTAACCTCTCTGAGACCCAATGAACTCATCAAATGAAATGGAGACAATAATAACGCCACTTTCACAGATTTGTTGTGAGGATAAAATTAACAGTCTGTGTGAAGTGCTTATTAAACATATAAATGTTATGCACTAAAATTATATAATTCCTCTGATTTGTCAGTATAGTAGCCCTGTAAAAAGTATACAAGGATATGCTGGAATGACCATGTTCGCTCTTTGTGGGACTACTTCTCTTTCTAGATTTAAACAAACCATCCCTCCAATAATATGTCCTAGAATTTTACCAGTAATCAAAGTCAAGCTCAATGGCCTATGCTTTATACATCCCAATTTCTTCCCTTTTTTCAAAAATTGGGACATTTGCCTTCCTCCAATTTACCACATCACTTCCATTTTCTAATTCACAAGATTGCTGTTATTTCAACCTTCACAGCTCATTTCCAAACCAGAATTTCCTATTTTGTTCCTCCACCCTTTGACGGAAGAAATTATCATGAACACAAATCTAAAAATTATTGGCCACTGTGCTTTTGACAGAGGGAATTCTAGCCGTCATTCAGACAACACAAACTCATTTTCACTAGTATATCACGCCTCTCTCTGTACCAGGCTGATGACCTGTTTCACAAAGTCCTTATCGGTTTTATTCTGTCCAGATGGTTTATAATCTAGTCCTGTGATAACACTGCTGCTGTTTATGCCTCCAAATGTGTGACATCATGCTTTCCCCTCTGACTCCAGAATTTCCTCACATAAATACTTCTTAGTGAACAACACTGCCCTTCTCCCACCTCCCTTTTACCGTTACCTCTTCTGAATAAGGCTTACACCTCCAGAGACATAATCTGACAATACATTTCATCCCAACGAGACTCAGTTAAAATTTGCTTTGTTGCATTTAGACCTCTACTTCATCTTGCTTGTGCAGCCAGACTGTATGCACACTTTGTGGTTCTTCCAGGGCTTAGAATAGAGCCTGGCACAGAACCAAAGCCTGTTAATTCACCGATCTTCACTTTCACGTCCCTAGGAAAGCAGAACTCTTGCCACAAGCTGGTCTGAGACTTCTTGCGCTCTTTGATGGTAGATGAGAAGAGTTGACCTCAGGTTACTCTACAGACCTAAGTCTGGCAATGTGTTTCTGAGGCCACATCTGTGCTCACGCTCGATGAAACAAATAGAGAAGACCTATTGTTGTCATTGTCATTGTTTAGTGCTTCAGTCTTGTCCATCTCTTCACGACCCCATGAAACATAGCACACCAATAATGTCCATGAGGTCCTATGGGAAAAGATACTCAAGTGGTTTGCCATTTCTTTGACCAGTTGATTAAGGCAAACAAAAGTTAAGTGACTTGCCCAGCATCACACGGCTAGAAAGTGTCTAGGCCAGATTTGAACTTGGATCTTCCTAACTCCAGGCCCAATGTTCAATCCACTGAGTCACCTAACTGCCTCCAATATGGAAGATGCCTTCATACAAATCACTAGAGGGTCACAGGGAATCCAGGCTGACTTCTCATTTCTATTTATTTTAAAGTTCTACCTGTATCCAAAGGGAGGAAAGATAGGCCTGAGAAATATTTCAATTTAACAACCTCGCTTCTAAAGATGAGAAGACATTAAATGACTTGCATTTTGTGGATAAGATGTTACTTTTCTAATTAGTCATGTATTATTTGGTTTGCCTGAAGTAACCAGTTTACTGGAATTCAAATAACCTAACAGAGTGAATGAGCTACCAAAACAACACAGATCTGCAAGGCAGTACAGTAAAAAACATTTCACAGAATTTCAGCTTCATCACAGGCTGTTTGGGAAGACACTTGTCATTTTCATGACCAAATAATGCCTGTTAAGAATCTGTCAGTGCGTGATACTGTATTAGGCACTATCTGAGTGAGCTTAACCCAGTCCCTGACCTCACAATCTAAAACAAATACACTTTCTAAGTGTATCTTCGGGATTTCTGTGCATTGCATACAACTGTATCTAGAGTGCTGAAGTTGCAGTCATGAAGACCTAAGTACAAATTTCGCCTCAGACATTTAGCGTGTGACCCAGGGTATAAATCATATAATGTGTCAGCCTCGGTTTTTTCATCTGTAAAATGGCACCTACCTCACAAGGCTGTGGTGAGGATCAAATAGACAATATATTTAAAGAACTATGCAAACTTAAAAGTGTTACACAAATGCTAAACATCATCATTATTTTTATTATTGTTACTCATAGCATTTCTCCTATAGTCAAGCAATGAATGAAATAGAACTTGCAGTAAGACCCAAGTCCGAATTCTGCCTCAAATACTTACTAGCTACAGAGTCTCAGTTACGTCATCTATAAAATAAGGGTGTTGGACTCTGTGGCTCCTATGATCCCTCCCACTTCTAAATCTATGAAGCCCATGATTCTAAGTCTGGAAACATATTCACATTCAGTAAGGACCAGCAATGAAATCTAGCCAGTCTTCTACTGACCAAACATTGTCCAAAAGTTTGGTAACAGGTCTAATAATAAAAAATCTCTCCCCCAAATCAATTCCAAGTACCAAGCAATAAATGAGTGACTAACAATTTTTAATGAAATTTTAAAAAGCAGAAGGATTGAAAGGTTTGGACTGTCTGATCAAGTTACCTTAAAATCCAAAAGGAAAAAGGAAAAGAAAACAATTACTTCTCAGGAACTGAACACTTTTGGCTTAAGGTTGTTCTTTTTAT